GGTCATCTAACCAATACATATTATGAATTTAACAAAAAATATCCTGCAGTATTGCCTGCTAACAATGACTTAACAAAACAGATTACACAATACGAACATGTCGGACTTTTGCTCGCACGAACTCTTATAAGAAAATATACATGACTGCACACGTTACTTAATTTAATTTAAGAAACAAATCTCCTCTCATGGGAAATGTTCCCCTTTTACGCCTAACTCCTCCAAAGCATACATTTTATTATTCGTTTGCTTCGCATATAAGGCAATCCATTTGGCAGTGATAAGCGACTTATAAGAAATAAACTACTGTTTGTTTCTTAGTAGCCTTGCGTCGTTTTATGTTTTTATGTCTAAACGAGGTAAGTGTGCAAAATTATATTCTGATAATGTAAGCACATTTTGTTGATGCAAACAATGAGATAAAAAACTTTCTAACTTCTAACGCCCTTGATATCGAAACTGATTTAGCCCGTGATAGCATATACTAAAATTTCATAATTTTTAAAGCTCCAGATCAAGGTGGATTGTGAGAAGCGGGAATAAAGTCCATAAAACACCACCTTAAATGGGTTTTGGGCGACGAAGTCTTTCTTACGAAGATTTTATGCTGTTTGTGTATCAGGTTGAAGCACTTTTAATTGCACGGCCTATTTGTCCACTTTGCCTTGATCCTAGCGATACTACTGCCTTGATACTTCCATATTTCCTTATTGGAGATACACTTACGTCATTTTCTGTCCCAATCAACTACTGTGACAACAATTTGTCGTTAAGAACGAATTCAGCAACTACGCCAACATTTTTGGATTAGGTGGTCCAAACAGTCCATCTCCACTTTTTAACAACGAGTGAACGAGAAAAGAAAACTTTAAAAAACCTTTGGACATCGGAACTTTGGTACTGATCAAAGCAGATGGTCTATCATCATCGAGACTCATCTTGACTAGGACGGCGTTATCCGTTCAGTGACCATTCTAACAGCTCTTAATTGTTTATCTTAATCTGAGTTTGTACAATACTATCGTCTCTTTCTTCACAGTCTTCTCTTACTCTATGTTTTTTTCTTCTCCGTAGCTTTATCCTTTATTTCACTTTTTCATCCTATTTTATTCTTTTCTCAATTTCCTCTTCTATCTCTATATATTAAAGATGCGCGATATTCATCGATGATTGAAAAACATTAATGTTGAACGCTCTATGGTCGATGTTTTGCCATCGATTATAGATTATAGTATAGATTACAGTTTTCACTAGCTGGTGATTTGTATAATGACGTGCGTAATAAAGTTACTCTACCCGCTAAATTCCAGCAAAGCAATGAAACAGGATAAAAGGAAAGCTGCTATCAAAACTGTTATTTTTATAAGACATTGATAGGCATTATTGGAGCTTATAATTTTAATATATTACTTATGTGTTTTTTTCCTAATAATTTGGTTGTGTTTAAGATATCTATCAAGAAATAATTTTTAATTGTTTAATATTAGGTTAAGGTTTCACAGTTACACCACGTGTTTCGGAAATTAATTGACGTTTATATAATACTTATTTAATTTATATATTATAATGTTTTATTCAACATTTATAAAGTCATTGATGTTTCTATAACATCGATGTTTTCTTTGCGATATATTGTTACTGTCGATGTTCAGGTTTGTTCCCAGCTCTATATACTTATATCACTTCTCCGATTATGTTAAATCAACTACTCTAATAGATCTGGCCAGTTTGTAGTAGTAATACCTCTTGCAGTAAACTATAAAAGATTGTGATTTCAGTTGTTTTCCGGGTTTGACTCCGCGTTAAGTAATTTTGGTCTTTAGAAAAACCATTGTTATTACGACGTTTCGGCAAGGTCACACTTGCCATTGTCAAGTCAGATTAGTTCTGCTTCGTCTTGATGTTTCAGGAGAACTGGAGATCAGTTTTTCATCTCCCTTTCAGGAGATCAGTTCTCCTGAAACATCAAGACGAAGCAGAACTAATCTGAATTGACAATGGCAAGTGTGACCTTGCCGAAACGTCGTCAAAACAATGGTTTTTCTAAAAACCAAAATTACTTAACGCGGAGTCAAACTCGGAAAACAACTGAAATCACATATAGCTCCGGCGGAAACTTCAAATCCAATTTATATATATATATATATATATATATATATATATATATATATATATACAAATATTAACACACATTTGTACTGACGCATTTATAAAATTCATACTACTTGGTTAAATAAATAAATGATTACTGTTAATACATTTAACGGCTGATGAAATAGACACGTGATCAATTAAGTTATCGCTTAGTGCCTAATACAGTATTCACCAGTTCATTACCACAAATTATTCTGCATGTTAGAATGCCTCTTAAAATAATTTTCCTGCATGCAAACGAAATAAGGTGGATAGTAATTTACAGACTTCTTTTATCTTTGAGATCGCAATTGTTATTCGATGGTATGTACATTATGATTTCTGTATATTCCAGCAATAATACAACAGTTTTTGATAATTCAGAAGAGTACAAAAAAGTCGAAATATTGTTAGACGAAAAAGAAATAATGAATAGATGGAGAAAATATTTTAAAGATCAGCTACATACTGATAGTAAGCAGGAAGCGATTAATGAACAAGAATTTAATGGATAACTATAAAGAGACCTTATAGTATAGTCTATTTAGTCTATACACAACAGTCAGTTTATTGTTATTTTGTTACACAATAGATTACATTTTAAACATTTCCTTGCCATAGAAAATTAACAAATATTTAGAAAAAAATATACCAAATGGCAAAGATTAAATGACTATCATAATAATTAAACAAATAAGTTAAATTAAATAAAGATCCTACATGCATATACGATTCATAAAGTTGAAAAGACATGTGGCTTGAAGGTGACGTATAAAAATGAAGTCAAAAATAAAAAATGATAAAGAGGTTCCGAATATTGGTGAAATATTAAATATAAAGAAATTATCAACTACAAATATGAAATGATACAATATGCACTTACACCAGAAGAGATTTAAATAATATAAATGAATTTTGGGACTGAAATTTCACTTTAGATAAAAATATACATAAAAATAGAGACGTTCCCACTTCTGTATTGAAGTAAAACTGACATGACAGAAGTTCAGAATTGCCAACAGACAAATAAATTATATGGACTTGTGAGTAGAGCATTGACATTTTTTATATGTCTATGGATGAGATACGTTATATGTTATAGAATCGATAAAAGTAGAAATTAAAATTGAAGAATAAAAATATTATACAATATAATTAGTGGAGAAGAGGTTAAGCGCCAACTATTTTTAAAAGAAAAATATTAAAACAACAGAAAATGAACAAATGTCTAACGATAAGACTACAAAAGAGAATTGCACTAATATTATAAAAATAATACCTCAATTAATGGAAGGTTGTCGAGTATGCCTTGCCTAGCTCAGTATCTCAAGTGTGAGTTCGTCTTGTCTTCAACTAGGGATTGAACCTGAACTCTTAGCTGATAGCAAATAAGATAAATTTTAACCAAACATATTTATTAAAAAAAAATAAGAAACAATAATTAACCCTGCCAAAGTTTAACAATAAACTAGTGAGGACGATACATCTGGCTTCGATGGGATACTTGTATGTCCTCCCAATTAAATGTTGTGTTCTCTGAAGAGCTATAGTAACATGTGGATGTAGGTCCTGATTAAGTGGTTAAGTCCTCCAATGGTTAATAATTTTTCAAAATGTTCTTCGATATGGTCAATAAATGGATATGGTCAATAAATTTTCATTATTTTGAATGTGGTCAATAAATTTTCAATAAATCCACCAATAAACCCAAGAGAATATTGTAGACCATAAAATGAGTCTTATAATAATTTTTGCCTTTTTTTATAAATTTCAAAAACAGGCAAAAAATTATATTCCCACTACGTTAGAAAAGTTGTTTGACAGAAAGTAGGGAGAAATATTATTTATTTATGGTAGAGAGACTAAATGAAGTTAGCACAGATGTCATAGGATGTTGCTATACCATGAAATTAGCTTGTCTGTCAACACAGAACAGAATATTTAGTCTACCGGATAGAAAGAGAGAGGGCCAATATTTATTCTACGGGACGGAAAGAGAGAGAAAAGAAAGACAGAGGAAGAAAAGAAAAACAGAGGGCGCCAACTACTTTTTAAATAAAATATAAATAAAACTAAACTGGATATAAAGAAATTAATATGCCCGTATCACGTATACTTGTGCAGGTAGTTGCTACTAAACCTTTTGCTATTGGCAAAAAGTTAAATATGTATAGAAAGCGGTTACAGACTACCAACACAAAAACGAACAAAAAACTTGAAAAACACACAGAATTCAGCGCCTTTATCATATTCTGCGTCAGCGGTCCCGACTATCGTTGAATTTAAAGCTATAAGACCAACAAAGCGAAGAAAGATATCTTCAATTACGGTGTAAACTTCATTATATGTATAAAGAAATAATGGTATCCAAGCCAAATACTGCCAAATATGCCGCAAGTTCATGCTGTAATATATGTTGACTAATACGAAGTATGTACTTTTATTTTGATAATACCTTCTATTCTGTATCTACGGAAAAAAATTTACTGGTTTGAGTATGTTTTAAACGAATTTTAAAATGTTTTTAAAATGCCCAAAAAGTATCATATCAACTCCTCAAGACTCACACAGATTTCTCTAACTGTATCATGATAGGCACGTCTAACACAATAAACCTACTCCTACAGTCATGGACAGATTATAATTACGAACATGCTATTACAGATTTTGTTGTATAGATATATTATAGACTGCGATTAATCTGAAGTTTTTTTTATCAAAATGAAAATTAATTTAATATTAATGATATCAGTCTACTACCAAATGCATATTATTCAGAGTTAATTGATATTCATTATCAATATTGACACAAATTACTCTATGTACGTTTAAATATATTACTTTATAATTTATTTCTCTTTTTACAGGATGAAGTTTTGGCAATATCTGAAAAAGTTGTGATAAGACTCGAAGATTTAATAACGTTAATCACTGTAGAAGCAGAATGGACGTGGGGCCGTCTGGCGAAGTGTGAACAAGATCTTAAACGAGTAGATGAAAACATAGACGAAAACAATATTCCTGCCAAAAAACCAGCTGGATTAAGTTTTACAATACACAATAATGGACTGGATTACTCTGATGTGGAAGCAGAAAGAAAAAATATAGGTAAAATCCTAAAAAATATCGCAATATTATTTTTTAACCACAGCAAATTGTTTATTTCTTTTTTGTGCGTATTTCAAAATTCGTGAAAAAATTTATGTCCATAAATGTACATAGGTCGATTTTTTTCACTATTTATCTTTTGGAGTTCCTTATTCAAAGAGATTTAATTAGGTATTATAAATAAATATTTGTTTCAAAAATGTAACTCCAACATCAACCTGAATTTCTGAACAGGTCTTTTATATATAGTATATTTTGTGATGGGTAGCTCTTTTAGACAATGAATAAATAACAAAATAAAATTAGATCCTATAGATAAAGTCACGTTCAGATGGCAGTGTACGGATATAGGATAACAGCGTTGCCAATTCTACTGCCATTGTAAGTTTTGCTACTTTTATGCTACAAACTCACGGTAAACTAAGATATGTTTAGGTAAGCTAAAGTTGTTAATAGAAAATTCGTGAATGAAATAAATGGTAATAATTCCTAAAATCTTTTATACATAATACCGCAGTTAATAGGGAAAAAAATATGAAAAATATTCTACAGGTTTTTTAATGTTCTAAACGGTAGATAAGGGATAACTGATGATAATTCCTTGAAGAATTACAGCCAATTTTGCTTTGTTTATTTTTTAAAGAAAGATGAAGTTTGGAAAAAATCATTTTTTTGCCTATTTTGTTACTCGTGCATTTTAGGGAAAAATGTTTCAAATAAATGTTGCAGATCTTAAAAAGTTTTTAAATTTTTTAATTTGTAAATTAAAATGCATAAACAAATAACTGAGATAATTGCAAAAAACCCCTAATTGAGGCCCCTAGAACACAAGGGTGTAAGTGCAGTTGCTTATCACTTAGCAACTAATATCTAACAACAGGCACGTACTTTTGGCTTCAAACTTTCTACATTAACAACAATAACACCATCAAAAATTACATGTCATTGAAAACATGCTGAAAACTGAAAAAGTGCTACCTAGGTTTTTAAATTTATATCGAACTTTGAACAAAGATTTTTCAAAACTTTGTTTTTGGCACTTACACCCCTTGTGTGCTAGGGGTCTCAATTGTGCACTAATTTATTAAATGTTCATAACTTTATTTTTTGCATAATGACGTCTAATATAACTACTTGAAATTATGTCGATTAATGAGTTATTTAAGTGTGCTACATTTCAACCAGATCAACTAAATATTTTATTACCTTTACTGAGAAAAGAATACCCCCGAAAAACAATTTTCAATCATCTTCATTTTCATAATCTAGTTCATCTTCAGAGTCATCGTTTAATGAAATTCTAATAGGTTCAATGTCATCTTGAATGTTGTCTACTGTCCAAAAATTATTCTCCAATTTTATAACATGGTTGACGTAATTTTTCCAATGTCCATTGTTTTGTACTTTATCATAACCTTCATAAATCAATGTTTTTACGTCGTTTTGTTTAAAACTTGAATTCTTAGAGGACACGTACCGTTTTACTTCACTCCACACCATTTCTATTGGGTTCAGTTCACAGTGATAAGGCGGAAGTCTTAAGATATGTACATCTACGCGGCATTGTTCGTCACTGTGATTCCTGTATTTTTCACCAATACAATCAATTTTGTATTTGTCATAAATATTTTTAAATACATTAGCAGTTTCCAGAAGTTCATTTTTTAAGTAATCTTCTTCAAAATTAATGTCCTTTTCATAGAGCTACTCCTTAATTTGACATTTTACCCAATATTGTTTGGGAAAATTTAATTTCCTAGAGTGATAAGATGCATTGTCCAAGATAATGACATTCTTTTTATTTTTTGGGAGATTCAGTATGAACATCTCTTCAAACCATTTTTCAAATAGATCTCCGTCCATCTCTTCATGGTAATCTTCAGCACCTTTTTTGGCAAGAAAAGTGATGTCAGCACCTTCAACAAATCCGTCTTTGTTTCCTGCATGGACTTAAACAAATCTTGGTCCTTTTCCGGTCGGAGTTTTTAAACCTGTCGTAAGTCCATTTACGAAAGCCTGTCGGCTATTTTTTATTGTTGTATCTTGCCATACTTGCCCATTGGTTATTCCAGTATTAATCCATGATTCGTCCATATAAATGATATTGGCTCCTTCGTTCCTCAGTTTCTTTATTTCCCGGAGATAGTGACGCCTCCAAGCGACTATTTCTTGTTTTTCTATTAATATTGAATTTCTACCTTGTTTGCCATATATAAAACCCATGTCGTGCAATAGTCTTCTCAACGTACTCTTGGAAAAATTCGGAAGATGCTCCATTTGCTTAATTTTTACTATACATATACATTATACATATATATACATTACTATACATATATACATTTGCACTACTTGTCTTATTCTAGACCGAGTTGCTTCATCATATCTATTCTCACGACTATTCAAATAACCGGTTCTTTTTTTTTCTTATAGGAGTTACGAGTGGACCATTTTTACTTTCACTTCTATATCGGAATATCGTTCGCTCAGAGACTCCAGTCATAGCAGAAACTTCCCGCGCTATTGTTGATACACTTTTATCATTATTACTGTTTGATAAATAGTTAAAAACATTTAACACTATTTTTTTGCATTCACTATTTAACAAATTACCGTTTTTGAATTTTATTACACTCGCGGCCATTTTGACACTGACACAACACAAACGTCTGATATCAACTGAAAATTCTTTTAATGACTCTCAAGTATTTACCTGAATTTATAATTGCTGGCATTAGACAATAATTTTGAATTTATAAATAGGTATATTTTTTTAATTCTAAATTATTTTTTAATGTCTGTAACTGTAAATGCAGGCAGAGAAAGTGTGTCATTAAAAGGACATTAAGATTAAAAACAGATTATACAAAATAATTATTTCATTTCCACGAATTGTAAACTATTTTGAACAGAAGGTATAATTCCGAAAATACCAACAGAAAAATTATATAATTAAAAAAATGTAGTATTTTTCCGTTTCACATTCATAAATATTTCCAAAATTATAATTCTTTTATAGGAGACGGCCCATAACGTACGATTGTAGGTACGATTAAAAACTGACAACAATGTAGTTGTTTCTGGCATATAGAAAGTACAGGCCTATCTCTGTAACGCTGCCATCTGAATGTGAATTTATCTATAGGTAATATATGCAATAACTACTAAAACGTCATAACTGGCGAGGACGGTGTCGACTTCATCATCATCAAATGTTGATTTTGCAGGATAGGATAAGGATTTCTTTATTTCGAAAGGAATGAACATAATTGTGCCCGTTTAGGATAGCTCGATTCTTTTCAGGCTTGAGTTGATTATATTTGAGAGAAGCAAAAGCAAACAGTCCAAAAACCCACTGAAGTATTAGCGTTTTTCTTCTATTGGAACATCTTGGAGGATGTTGAGATGGAGTCACTATTCGAATCAGAGGTGAAAGGCTTGTCTGGATTGTGATGTTCTTTGAAGAGTGAGTGTGCGTGTTTTTTGAGCTAGATGCGACAGAGTCCGGTCTCTAATGATTATTGTTTCTGTATCATTTTCGAGCTTATACTCGACCCCAAAACCAGTGTATTGCACACACTGTGTGTGTGTGTGTGTGTGTGTGTGTGTGTGTGTGTGTGTGTGTGTGTGTGTGTGTGTGTGTGTGTGTGTGTGTGTGTGTGTGTGTGTGTGTGTGTGTGTGTGTGTGTGTGTGTGTGTGTGTGTGTGTGTGTGTGTGTGTGTGTTTGTGTGTGTGTGTGTTTAACCCAACAGTTATGGACGTTACCATTTCGAAGTTACTTGGCTCCATCGAATCACTTAGATTTTACTCGTCCGACCACATGCCCGTGTTAAGTAACGGGGGCTGCGGCGGTGGTACCGGTGATGAGGATGCTTCGGTAGCAGAAAGAGGACCCCTTTCACTGTTGGATGAGTGTGAGTGTGATTTTTGTGAATGTGTTTTATGAGTTGAGTATCGACTGCGCTGTGTCGCACATTTTATACCTGCGAAAAATAAATACAGTTGTGGTAGACAACAAGAGAAGAAATAACCTGGGTTAGAGGTGGACGGATCGATCAACACTCGTTATGGCAAAGAGCGGGAAAGAACTAATTAAAACTCTCAGAACGATTACATCTCAGATTAACACTTTAACATTGGTTTGGAGCTTCCACTAGATCAACACTCTATCAAAAGCGGTTGGCCTCCGGTCAACACTCTAGGGACATTGGTGTTGCTCCCAGATCAACACTCTGATAGAACTCCATAGGCCCGGTGAAGTTCCCACCAGATCAGCACTCTGGCGGAAGTCGATTCTCTCTCGTGGAGTACACTGTTTCATATCCTTGTCGGCCTTCATTCGTGTAAAAGTCGATCTGCTCTAGTGATATGTCTAACCGTACATAGTCCATGTCTTTTCCGTACATAGTCCATCTAAAACCTCTTCACGAGAGGAGGCCATCCTGCATAGTTTTCCAAACATATAATCTTAATTTAAACACATTTCTTCCGAATAGCACTCCCTCGGCCCTAGGCCCGGATTCCTTCAATCTTTCCCTGCATTATATTTTGTAGGAATGTGTATTTTTGTCCCCGCATTAGATGGCCCAAGTATATCTAAGGTATCTACACATAATACTTAACCATTCGAACCTACCGAAAAGATTTTAGTTACTGCGTGTCGTTTCCATGATAACCACTAGCCTTTATCGAGCGTTATAAAATCTGCCTCGAATATAAAGGGGATCTTAAAACATAGTTATTTTATTTGGTTCAGCAAAGGCGAGTTTATACACGTATGGATTTGCTGGCACCGGTACCCGCGATAGTCATGTTTGCACGTTTAAGGTGATTTAGGGGTTGATATTAGACTATATTTAACATAACTGAATATACATATTTACACAATAGTAATAAATATGTCAATCGAGGAAATAAAATTTGTTTAATTCTAAAAAGTAGAGTCCGAATTTGGATTAGAAACTGGATTGCTACAATGTCCTGAAAACTCCATTTTTTACCTCGTTTGCTCATTTCAAGTGATATTTTAAAATTGCTTAACCACAAAAACCACAAAACACAATGGTTTACACGTGCAAATTCAATTTAAAATGCCGATAAAATGGTCAAGTTTCAACAGAAAAGTGTAAATACAAAATATGAAAATATGAAATACTGAAATACAATTGTTTGCCCATAATTTTTCTAGGGAGATCGGTGGTCCTTAGCCCTCCCTCATCAACCGACACTGTTCGCCACATATTTTTTACCATTTTACACTTTGCTCTTTTATTAACCTTCCGTGACTTAAGTCTAGTATGTTGTTAAAAAAAGTCTTGGCGGGTCTCTGAACGAGAAGTTTGTAACCGTCTTTTTCCTTTTTTGTTGTTGTTCATTTATATTTCTTTTATTTTATTTTTTTGTTAAATTAGAATAGAGATTGAAGAGAATAAATGTCATATTTACTTTATATAATTTATATGTGAGTGGGTGTATGACCAATGGTTAAGCCAACAAACAAAATATTGCCATGTTATTATATGTAATATTATTTCTACTCGTACCATGTATATATAAATATCACTAGATTGTGTGCTGTTATGACCAAAAAAATAGTATTTATATTTTATTTCTTTTATTTTCAAGAATTTATATCTAATAAGATTAAAAAAAATAATTCGATTTATAATAGATTTATACACATGGGGTGATATCTTCCAATCCTTCAATTTCTAGTTTGTTTTCATCTGGGTCACAGATTTTCACAGGAGGCGGTACTAATGTCACAACTTCCGGTTTGTTACAACAGATATTAGTATAACTTCCAGGGCAGATTTTGCTAAAATTAAAAAAAAAAAATTAAATAAGTTATACACTAATATAAGCAAATTGTATGGAACATTATTTACATCTTAATATAATCACAAACATGTTAATTTAATTCCACTTTTCTCCTTTATAGTTGGTAAACTTTTTTTAACTTAATTACTCCGTATTTGTTCTCCATTTTCTTCTCTTCTTCACAGATTTTCTCTGCAGGACTAATTTTGCATTTTTTTCGCATCTCATTTTATGATGGCTATAAAGCCTATTATTTTTTATACATCTTCGTATAAAATTTATATGTTTTCCATCCTATTTCTGTATTAATTCCTTCGGAAATTAATGTCAGCCTTTTTCGCTACCATCCTTCCCATAAGTTTATTTAAAATGTTTGCCAATATCCACGTTTTACACTCTTTTGTTATGGTTTGCCCAATTTTTTCTTTGCATATACTTGGACTTGTATTCTTCCATTGTTCTATTTTCACTCCCAAATACGTAAATTCACTTCAAGATAACTTTCATTGTTTGTTCTCTCATATTTATATTTTTGTTCTCTTCTTGATTTACTTTCAGAACAAACTTTTCTGCTTCCTGTATTTATCTTTCTGGATGTTCTTTAAAGTTCCCTTTTGGTTTTCCTATTATTGTTAGATTATTTGCAAACGTTAGGTACTGATAAAAATTGTTTCTTTAGGTTTATTATGCATCTTCTAATTATTATTTCAAGTATTGTATAAGTAGTATCTTGGCTAGTAGATGCCTTTGCCTCAATCGGTGTTTTACTTTAAATTCGTTTGAACTAAATCTTTGTTGTTTCTGACGTTATTTATACCAATAGAATTATCTTCCCTGGTAATTATTATAGTTCTGTTAATGAATTGTATAATTTTATTTCGTTTTATTTTGTTAAAGGCCGGTTAAAGTATATGAAAATTGCACCAAATGGGGTGCAATTTCATACCTTTGTAGATTAACAAACGTCATCGAATAAATGTCGTGTAGTGTGCGTGCATCATCGACAAAAGTTCGACTATATTCGATGTGTGTGCCGCCTAGCGTAAGACTAAAGATCTACCTGAGGGTTGTAAGTTTGAAATTCGAGACATTATGTATAAAATACGTGAAAAGGAAGCACATGTTTCTATAGATTCGGTTTTAAAAAAATTAAAAAACAGAAATGCATTCGACATTTCCAGGGTAAGTTTCTGGAGAGTGTTCAAATAGATTGGGTTTATGTTCAAAATGGAAGACAATAGAAAAACCTTCTGTGAAAGAGTGTCGTTCACAAAAGTACTTTTAAGAAACTATAATAATTAAAAAAAAAGAACACGCTTCAGTTGCTTATTTAGATGAAACCCGGCTTTTTCCTAAAAGTGGAATAAAACGGATTTGGCAGGACGAGAGAATAAAATCCATAGAACACAACGATACTGAGGGAAAGAGACACATTATATTGTATGCGTATGGAAGACCTGGTTTTATTGATGGAGCGAAGTTTTGGACATGTTAAGACTGCCCCCGTTTACCTTGTGAATTCAATCTGTTGAACATATGTGGGGAATATGCAAAACTGACTACGATGACTATATTCGACGTAACGGTTACAGTGATGCAGCACTTTTGAACAGAAGAAGCTGCTTTAATACTGCTACTCTTCAATTTGGGAAAAAGGGTGCGGAAATTTGAAAAGTTAATGTTTCATGCATGAAAATCACATCGAAGCAACTAAACCATCATTGATTTACAATCCAAAACGAAAAATCGTTTTTTTTTTTTCGAACAGGACCTAGTTGATTTTTTAACCAAAAAACCATTGCGGTACCAACAACTTGAAAAATCAACCGCTTGTTCAATGTGTTAAGGAAATTGTGTTACTAAATAAAAAAAAACACTTGAGACAATTTTTTATTCAAAAAACAATTACTGTAAGAGACAATTACAAATGGAAAGGTGTAAAACATTCCAAACAAAAGGCAACATCACATTTTTTGCATATCAAGTGAGATCGCTTTGGCTTCTTCTCTGTGCTACAGAAAACACATTGCCGAGAGGTACGTTTTACAGATAAATGTTCACCAGCCACGGAACTTCTAACAAAAGAATCAGTAGACACCTTTCGTCCTTAAATCTTGTTTATTTTACGAAATGTTGCTACAGGACTCCTTTCTACTCGAAAAATTATTTATGATCTCATTGGCAAAAAAGCTGCCGTATGCCAAATGTGACATAGGCTTTTAAATAGCTAGGCATCATGCACAGCTGCAGGTGACCTGAATGAAACATGAATATGTAGAAATAAAAATATCGGAAAAGAAGTGGAAGGCAGAATTTTAGACAGTTACCAGACAAATAATGGCATACGCGACAGAAATACGGCCTTACACAGAGAGGAGAAAAATAATGTTAACAGCAGAGATGAAAACTCTTGCAAAAATTCATGTTGACACTATAAGACAGAGCTATAAGTACAGATATAGGACGTAGATGCAAGGTGGATAACATCAAAAACTGGGTAAGAAATGGAAGATCAGAATGGAACGATCATATAGCCGAATGACAAAAACTAAAGTAGTAAAGACGGCGAGAGACTGTTCCCAATAGAAAGATTCCCAAATCAGTAGAAAGACAAAGAAAACGATCTAACAACAATACTGAAGGCACATTGAAAAAAGAGTCATGTCTATATGAAAAGAAAGAGAATAATGTAGCGAATGTCCATTATCAAGAATTGCGCTAGAGGGAAAGAACCAGAAAAAAATACCGCAGAACATTTAGGACTCGTATGTGGTTAGCTATAAACTTATTAGTAGATTTGAAAGTTTGACCCGATATCCACACTAAATGAAAAAAAAAAACACTTAAAAAATCTTTTTGAATGATATTATTCTGCAACATTGATCGATATTTACACATCGACAACATTATTTTGTAATTATTGACTTAGTACTCACTCAGAATTGATCGTTCCCTCGCAGTATCTCCAATTCATGCAAACACATTCTTTTTCTACTTGAACAGCATATAGTGGATTAACTGCGTATAAAGGATCTCGCTTTGCAAGTTCTGACAAATATCTGGATCCTCCTATCATGTACATACCTTCAGTGCACTGCAGTTGCAGTATTGGTAGTAAAACGCAGACCGCTATTAGTTTGTAATACATGGTTAAGTATATCTATATTCTGCAATGAATAAAAACCGTTCTAACGATTTTTATTTATAGTTTGACATTGCTGATATATGTTTTGTTTTTTAATGCATTATCAGATTTGGTTTTACCGGTATAATAATAAATCTTTTATATATTTTCTTATCACGTTTATGATAAGTTGCAATGAAGTTAAAAAATTGTTAGAAGCCCAAGTTAATTGTTTTATGTTGATTCACAAAACATAAATCATTTGTTTTTTGCGAACTAAGTCATTTACTGGTTTCAATAGAATTAAGTACCTACTAAAATGATTAACCTGAAGTCATGTATTTACATAACAAAACAATATTTTATAATAATATAGTAAGTCCTCGATAATATATATTTTAATACATAAACAAGTTAGGATGGAACTAGGGGTCCCAGTAAAAGAAGAAACTCTTGTATGCAAAACCTACGCGACGTGTTCGGCCTTAAATATATCCTGACTGTTTAGACAAGTCGCCAACAAGTTAAGAATTGTCATGTTAATAGCTAACATCCGCGATAGATAAGGTACGAGAAGAAGAAGATGAACAGGTTAATATATCTTAACATAACAAATCGACAAAATATTTTCGTGAAGTAACAATAATTTTGTTGACTTTATTTTTGTACCTTTTCAGACCTAGACTTCAGATTTTGTATCCCAAAGTTTTCATTTTTTCCAAGATTGCTGTCTATCAGTATCTTCTTCACATGCTCTTCCTTCCTCAATTTAAATAAAATAAGGTAACAAAATACTTTTGTAATATATACAGGAGAATTGACAGTTTGTAATATATGCAGAGGCAAACTAGAAAGGGATGAGGCACTGACAGCAAAAACCAAACTGAACGTATCAGCTATAATAAAGCTACTAACACTTTGCACAGTTAGCATCTATTTTTAACTAGATAATGATTTTTATAAGAAAAATTCCGGATTAGTCATGAGCTCATCCTGATATCCATTATTAGCAAATATATTCATGGGGGATTTCGAACATAATATTGTACACAAACAAGACAAACAATCCACAATATGCTTCATTGGGCGTCTTGGGCCAGAATCATTAATAGTAAATTTGGGCCAGTAAATTTCTGATGGACATCAACCATAAAGAAGAATCAATTAAATTCACCAAGAAACAAGAAAACAATAAGTCACTCCCTTTTCTGGACGTGCTAATCACAAAAAAAAGACAAAGAATATGCAACCAAAGTTTACAGAAACCCAACCCAAACCTGCAGATATTTAAATTACCAATCCTACCACAACGCAAACATCGAAAAAGGAATTATCAAATTCCTAAACGTGCTCTGATGAAAATGCATTTTATGAAGGAAAATCCTGCTAACAAAGGTTTTGACCAAAAATTATTACCTATTGTCATTTACAAACAAGGAATTCCATAAGATTGAAGAAAGAAAACAACAGAACACCACAAGAAATCCAGAAGCACGCACAAGAAAAACTGAAGAGGATAGAAAACAGTACATCACCAACATTCAAAACAACTGATGTCCATCCAAACCCATTAAAACACAAGAAAGATAAAAAACTGCATCTATAAAATACCTTGTGAATGCAACAATTTCTACGTGGGAGAAATTGCAAGACTTCGAGAAATCCCAGATATACAAACATGTCTGCGCTAGTGCAGTGGAAAGATGCATCAATAATCATGCAAGAAACAGACATGAAAATGAGAAAAGTCAAAGAAACAGTCCTCATTCTACTTAACAAATAAAAATGTGTAACAAATCCATCAGCAGAATGTAGCAGAAAAAACCAACAATACCAGAGTAATTCTAAACACATCAATACACAATATACATAAACTCTAAATCTATTTTTGTTCAATTTACGTACTCAACCTTTACAGCTACGATATCTAGGGTAAAAAATCACCCCCTTTTAAATTTTCACCCCAAAGTCATGACATTAGTTAATTAAAAATTTGATAATCATTACACCCAATACTTGTTGCCTAATCCCATATAAACATAATATATAAATTACACATGCTACAAGAACGTAGTTTCAGAACCTTGTTAAAAACAGTGTTGTATTTTTATTTTGTTTTAATATAAAGTATAGGTTATGGGTTGGAGACTTCTCGCAAATGAACAAAAGAACAACTGACTAGATGGAATATGGATATAAAAAATAACAGCCGAAGTTTGAGTAGAAGCAGTCGGGAATAGAGAAAATCATCTATTTCTGGAATGGGTGCAACTTGCTAACATAATAATCATTATTATTGGCTCTGCAACCCATAGTGGGTCAGCTTCCATCTTATCCTTAGCCTTGTTTCTCCAATTTCGTACTTTTTAACATTCGTAAGTAGTCTTCCACCTGGTCCTTACATCGTGCTCTGGGCTTGCCTGTTCTTCCCACTCCATCCGGGCTGTGATTATAAATGCGTTTCGAAGCCTCCACCTCGTTCATTCTAAGTGGCGTAGTCGCCGCAACTTGTTTATTTTGATAATAAAAAACTAGGTTTATTATAAAGGCAGTAAAGCTCAAAATTATAGCGCCTACGCCATAATCCGTTTCCTGCACGCCTTTATAAATATTTCTGAGGATTTTACATTCAAAACAGCCTAAATCATCGCTTTTTGTCATCGTACACGTTTTTGACACATTCATGTCATAGGATGGGCTTGATCAGAGTTCGGTATATCAATATTTTCGTTATTTTTGTGACTATGTTTGCTGTTAAGTTTCTTCAATTCATAGTATGCTGACAAAATTCTCATACAAGGAACATGATAGCGAAACACGACCAACTTACCAACTAGAATAAATTCACAAAGATGTTACATTCTCCTACTTCTTCATCTTCAAAAAAGTGTTGTATAGATTTATACCGGTTTTTATTACACACGTCCACTACTAATTTCTTCTTTTCTTTTGCGTATTTATATTGGAAAACTTAAGTACTTGTTGAGAAAATATTATTCAATATCTATCTTGATAGTGTTTTATGTTTATTTGGCTTAAGATTAGTGTATTTTTCTTGTTATTTAAATATAACATATACCAGTTCACTGCGTGGTACGCACCTAAAATGATTATTTAATTGTTTTAATTTAAAAAAATAAGAAGTTTTAATTCCTTTATTTTTTATTAAAGACTTATTATATTTAGAAAAATATTAAAAATTCTACATCTTTGTTAATATTTTGGCGGTAATACACATGGTTTGATGATTTCTTCCATTCCATCAACTTTTAGTTCAACAATCATACAGTGACAGATGTTACCGGTTTATTACAGCAGACTTGAAAATAACTGCTTTGACATTGTTTACTAAAATTGATAAAAATAATTATTAAAAACAGATATTATGCTAGAGCAGATAATGTAAGGCTTAATGATATCGTAATACACTTTTTAAAATATCAAAGAACCTTTTTGCGCGGAATCACTAACACCCAAATCTGGTGAGTTCTGTCTTCACTTTATATGGTCTATTTCACTAGTTTTAATAGGTGCCAAATATTCCACAACTTACAACATCGAATATAGATAGCAGAAAAAAAACATGATCAGACCAAAAGAATACTGAATTATTAATATGAATGTTGGTAAGTGCAATAAATACGCAAAGAAAAAATATGGATAAACGTTTTAAACAATTGGGATACAAGACTTCAGAGACGCTGAAGAATGAGAAATATTGCCATCCGAAAAATTTATAAATTTATTAAGAGCTAACAGCGTGGTGTAAGTGATATTAGTTTTAAAACTTAGTTTGGGGATAAAATCGTGGTCGAACTTCGTATTGAAATCCGTGGGTCTATTAGGTATGGAATGTCTTGCTAGCTCCATTTTTACTCTACATACTATTTGTGTATCTCTTTAATGCTGAAAACACATCAAATGACTGAAGGAAATGATCAATTATGAGACATACTTGGTGATATCTGGTCTGGTTACCATCAGAGGAGAGTGTCATATAACGAGGTGATTTTAAGACACATGTAGGTCAATCCGGAAGGAGATATGTAGCAATAGCATTATATATGGCGACTCTTAAATTATTTCGGAAGGAGGAAAAATCAACTTAACATATAAAAATTGGACAAAATCATTCTCAAGTGTTAGCGAAACTATGAGCCAACAACTTTAATCGTTTGTGCTGAATATTGAAGTATGAAAATATCGGAGAGTATCATAAAAAATCAAGTAGTAGATGTTAATGATGAGAAAGAAGGTTTATTCAGGGCATAACTAGTAAAAAAAAGAGGTGAAACATCAAAGAAAGTCATAATATGATCTGGAAATAAAGCTTCTCTGAATCTGGAATTACTTGGAAAAATCTCAGAAAAGAAGTTTTGTAATTAAGAGACCTGGTGATGGCTAAACGAAGATTAAGAAAAATAAGGAGAAGAAAAAATATAGCGCTTAGAAACAAAATAGGTCGAGCAAAGATCTTCAAAACTATAAGATAAAAAGGAAGAGAAAGTAGCCTAAAGCATATACAAATATATAAAACACCTTGATAAAATAGAGGATAAAATAAATGTATATAAAATCGCGCATTACATGGTTATGATGTCTTCAACGTGAGCATGCTAATCACGCAATACGAAAAATTGCAGTAAGTTCCTGGAACGAGTAGGATAGAAACGTATATAGACATATATCTCGCATATGGATAAAGACAAAAGGAATGATAAATGTAAATATTTCATCGATAGTCGATCTGCCCTTTCGGAACCTCATCTGTACGTCTCGTATTATAATTTTCCCTGGTTTTATTATTTTAAATTCTTAAAATTCTCTGTCTTTTCGTAATGAGTTTTGACACATTTCTTAAATATTACTGTTACTTTAACCTCTCATCATCTGATATCGTAGTTTTTCAACACATATACTGTGTGTTCCATCGAGAATTTGACCACCCCCCCCCCTTCTTCTTCTTAGAGTGCCGTCTTCCTACGGAGGTTGGCAATCATAATGGCAATCTTCGCCCCCCCCCTTAGAAACTTAGAAACCAACAGTTTCTTCAAAATATAAGAAATCACGTCAATTTGTATTGGAAGGGGTATTTTGTATTGGAATTTTTTTGCAAAATTCATGCGCCCAAAATGTAACCCCTACTGTCCAACCATCAACCCCCTATTTTTTTAATAGCAAGTATGGTCGAGTGGCACATCATTTGAAAGATAATTTTTTTCTCTACACGACACTATTTTTTTTTTAATTTACATAATAACTTTGAAGGTAATTTTGGATTTAACTAATTTATTGGTTGAATAGTGAAGAAAGTATATTGAGATATTATAGTGAAGAAAGAATAGAAGTAGTTAAGCTATACTCTGCAAATAATCGGTCTGCTAAGACTACGGCAAGGATCTTTAATACGAACCACCAAGAAAAAAACTTAAGTCACCAAATCGTTAAACATTTAACTGATGAGGTCACAGGAGGTCATTTCAAACATTTAATTGGTTAATTTGATGAAATTTTATGTTTTTTGTTATTACTGTGGTTACAATAAATTGGTTAAATCCAAAATTTTCTTAAAAGTAATTCCGAAAATTAAAACAAAAATAGAGTGTCGTGTAGAGGAAAAAATACCTTTCAAATGATGTTCCACCCGACCACATTTGCTAATTAATAAAACGGGGGCAGTAGCGGGTTACATTTGAGGGCATGAATTTTTCATGAAAATTCGTCCCCCTCTCAATACAAATTAAGGTGTTTATTTTTTTAATTTTGAATAAACTCTTATTTTCTGAGTTTCAAGGGGGTCAAATTTTCGTTGGAACACACTGTATAGGTCTTCTCAGCTCGTATTTCTACATCTTAGCATTTATGCCATGTAATCCTGCGGTGATCAGCCCTGCCTCTAGGAACATGTGTATACCAATCTAAAAATGGGATCCACATATACGAAGATCAAACCGGTCACACTTCACTAGTTGAAGTTTTACCTATCTAACCCCCAGGCTTCTCCTCCACCCCTCCTCATCGTGTGACTTACGTGAGGAGGCTTATGATCTGAAAGTTACTTAAGGTGCCCTGGGTAATGAGACACCCTCTGTTTTTATTGACTGTGGTTATGCCACCTAACTGTAGGGGTAGCCACATCTAGGCTTTTCTCCCTATTTACTTTACTGACTCTCTTAAAGATACTCTAACATCACTTCGGGACTTGAGTCCCTAAAAAAAAAAGAAAAAGAAAAATAGCGTGTGTTCCGATCATGGAGCCGCCAGCCTATGCTGGCGACTTTATGTCCGGAAAAGAGTGTGTGCTCGGTCACTCAGTCGCCGATTTGGCAAAAAAATTTTGTTCTCCTCGCCGGCTGGTTACCCGAGAAAGGTCCGGCCACCAAGCCCATGTCTGCCGCACATGACCTTAGTGCTCGGGTGTCGCGAGTAGATGAGTATTCGTTGATCTGCCTTAAGGGCCTAGTCCGCAGTTGCGGTATATAGAAAGCCTGACAGGCCTTCTATATTTGAAAGAATGAATTTGACTACGTTAAAACGTTTAGTGAGAAAATTTAAGTTGATATTATCAGAAAACACCGGGTTTTTTTGGGTTTTGGAGGTCTTTATTGTAGCTTCGGGACTCTGCCATTTAATCCTGTTGGTTTTCCATTCAAAGTTTCTATTCAAATCTGAAGAGCTTGTTTTCGCCCTCCCCACTTTTATAATTTCGACTGTTACATGCGTGTCCACTGTGTCTTTAATTTTTAACCCAATGTTTTTCATGAATGCTATTTTTCTGGTTTTTTCTCGTTCTTTTATGTTGAAGTGTTCATTTCTTTGTATGCAATCCGTAAATAATTGAAATCATTTATATTCAAGATATTGATCGATGTTTTATATAGATTTAATTAGTGTATTAATAATGATTTATAGTAAGTACTCACTCAGAATTGATCGTTCCCTCGCAGTATCTCCAGTTCATACAAACGCATTCTTTCTCTTCCGGTAAATCATAACTGTGTAATAGATTCTGCTTCACAATCTCGGAAGAATATCTTCTTCCACCTTTCGCATATAAACCATTAGTGCAATGAAATATGAGTATTGATAGTAAAACGCACATACATAATACTCTATAAGACATGGTCATGTTTATATTCTACAATAAATGAAAACGGCTGTAATGTTTTTTATTTATAGGTTGACATTGTTAATAATTGTTTTGTTAACATGTTATCATATTTGGCATTCATAATAATATGCGTGCTTTATTGCCTTGTGTAATAAATTGTAATAGAAATGAAGTGCATTTATATTACCTATTCATTTGTTTTTTATGCTGATTCATAAAAATGTTTAACGGAAATTTTAGTTTCAATCGAAACATAAACCGTAATTAAGGTAAGGGTATATTTTTTTACATAAAAATAAAGTACTACAATAATAAATATAAAACTAATAAAAGGGAAAGTACAATTCTCTAAAAATTATAGTGACGTAATAGCGATTCATTCGGTAACTCTATACTTATGTCTTTGTAAGATTCGTTGATCCCCAGTTCCAATTTTTCCAAATTTACTTCCCCGTTGTAAAATTTTCAAGTATTCTTCTGATTTTCTGTATGTATTTTGCTGAGAAGACACATGCCTGTAAAATGGGAAAGTAACTTGCAAGTATGCACGAAACACATTTGCGAGTAATTGACATGTCAGCAGCACAGAATTAATAACAATCAGAATGCCCACTCTCAGATGCCGCCTTTCAAGTTTGTCAGCACGCGAACGCCATGTTTTAAACCGAAACATAGACTCGAATCAAAACATTTGTGACAAGCTACGACAGAAATCTAATTTAAATTTTTAAAGATTAATAATTTACTACATTTGAAATAATTTAATCGATTCTTCAACTAAAAGTACGAATAAAATAGTGCATATTATGTCTGTAGTTGCCGTAAATAAATTAAACCGGGTTAATTTGTCTATGCCACAACAGATAAAATGTCAATGAACAGCACTGGTTCCTAGTAAAACATGGTTGATTCCGTCTACGCGAACGAGATGGGCGTACTTATTTTTTTAAGTAGAGTGGGTATTCTGATTGTTTATTATTCTGTGTCAGCAGCTTGCATGCGTGTACTGGCAAGATAAAAAAGCAGGAGTATTATATTACACATACCAGTAAACAGACTGATTGACATGTATCAAAAGTACTAACAACAAAAATGAAAAATATTCGGAGTTAATTAAACAAACACGTATTACTCATGACCACGGATATTGTTAGAAATAATATTGTTAGAACTTAAAAGAAAGAAGAATTTGGGCGAGATTGTATTAAAAGACGGAAAATCTGCGCTTCAAGAGCTTGTTTGCTTAGAGAGATGAGAATTGAAGATGTAGAAAGTAATGGAAACCATTTAAGAAAGCTTCCTGAAGGATTTGATGAACTGCCATTATTTTTTTTTAAATTGTCTTCATCTTCATCTCGGAATGTAAATGTCCATAACATGTTAAATAGCAAATTAATTTCATTTGGTCGACTCCGGTCCCCGGTAAAATCTACCAAAATGAATATACCTTTTTAGAAAGGATTTTTAAATAAAATAAGAACAGTCAAATTGGACTTTAAAGAAGAATATGTCTTT